AGTACATAGTCTATAGACTATAGTCTAGTTTATAGTCTGGACTACAGTCTAGCATATAGTCTAGTCTGTAGTCTTGTTGATAGTCTAACTTAGTCTGGTCTGTATTCTAGTGTATAGTATAGTCTATAATCTCTGTTATAGTATAGTCTGTATTCTAGCCTATAGTCTAGTCTGTAATCTAGTCTACAGTCAGTCTATAGTCTAGCCTACAGTCAGTCGATAGTCTAGTTCTATATACTAGTCTAGTCTGTAGTCTAGTTTTATAGCCTAATCTAGAGTTTGTGTTCTAGCTCAAAGACTAAAAAAATAGTCTAGTATATAGTCTACTCTATAGTCCATTCTATAGTCTAGTATGTTGTCTAGTCTATAGTCTCGCCTTTGTTCTAAACTATGGTCTAGTCTGTATTTTATTATAAGTCTAATATAAGTCTAGTTTATAATCTCTTTTTTAGACTAGTCTATAGTTCAGTATATAGTCTGTATTCTAGCCTATTGTCTAGTCTATATCTATGGTCCAGTCTATATCTATACTCTAATCTATATCTATAGTTTATTCTATATTTATACTGTAGGCAATAGTATAGTCCAGTTTATTGTATAGTCCAGTCTATAGTCTACTATATAGTATAGTCTATAGTTTACTATATAGTCTAGAGTGTAGCCTAGTCTCTATTCCAGTCTGTGGTCTAGTCTATAATCTATAGTCTAGTCTACAGTCTAGTCTATAATCTAGTCTATAGTTTAGTGTATAGTATAATATGGTATAGTATAGTATAGTATAGTATAGTATAGTATAGTATAGTATAGTATAGTATAGTATAGTATAGTATAGTATAGTATAGTATAGTATAGTATAGTATAGTATAGTATAGTATAGTATAGTATAGTATAGTATAGTATAGTATAGTATAGTATAGTATAGTATAGTATAGTATAGTATGTATAGTATAGTATGTATAGTATAGTATAGTATAGTATAGTATAGATAGTATAGTATAGTATAGTATAGTATAGTATAGTATAGTATAGTATAGTATAGTATAGTATAGTATAGTATAGTATAGTATAGTATAGTATAGTATAGTATAGTATAGTATAGATAGTATAGTATAGTATAGTATAGTATAGTATAGTATAGTATAGTATAGTATAGTATAGTATAGTATAGTATAGTATAGTAGTATGTATAGTATAGTATAGTATAGTATAGTATAGTATAGTATAGTATAGTATAGTATAGTATAGTATAGTATAGTATAGTATAGTATAGTATAGTATAGTATAGTATAGTATAGTATAGTATAGTATAGTATAGATAGTATAGTATAGTATAGTATAGTATAGTATAGTATAGTATAGTATAGTATAGATAGTATAGTATAGTATAGTATAGTATACTAGTATAGTATAGTCTAGTCTATAGTCTAGTGTAGTCTATAATCTAGTATACAGTCTAGTCTATAGTCCAGTCTATAGTGTAGTCTATAGTCTAGTATGTAGTATAGTCTAGTCTATAGTATAGTCTATAGTCTAGTCTAGTCTATTGTATAGTCTATTGTCTAGTCTATAGTCTAGTCTAGTCTATTGTATAGTCTATTGTCTAGTCTATAGTCTAGTATATTGTCTAGTATGTAGTATAGTCTATAGTCTAGTATATTGCCTAGTCTAGTCTATAGTCTAGTGTAGTCTATAGTCCAGTCTATAGTGTAGTCTATAGTCTAGTGTATATTCTAGTCTATAGTCTAATCTATAGTCTATAGTCTAGTCTATAGTCTAGTCTAGTCTATAGTCTAGCCTATAGTCTTGTCTATTGTCTGGTCTTTAGTCTAGTTTATAATCTAGTCTATAGTCTAGTCTGTAGTCTATTCTATACTCTAGTCTTTAGTCTAGTCTGTAGTCTATTCTATAGTCTAGTCTTTAGTCCTGTCTATAACGTAGTCTATAATCTAGTGTATAGTGTAGCCTAATCTCGTCTATAGTCTAAAGTCAAGCTTATAGTCTAGTCTATAATCTAATCCATAGTCTAATCTATAGTCTAGCCTATAGTCTAGTCTACAGCCTAATCTATAGTCTAGTCTATATTCTAGACTATAGTCGAGTCTATTGTCTAGTTTAGTCTATTGTCTAGTTTTAGTCTAGTCTATAGTTTTGTCTATTGTCTGGCCTTTAGTTTAGTCTAATCTATAGTCCAGCCTATAGTTTATAGTCTAGTCAATAGTCTAGTCTATAGTTTAGTCTATAGTCTAGTCTATAGTTTAGTCTAGTTTATAGTCTAGTTTATAGTCTAGTCTATAGTCTAGTCTATAATCTAATCCATAGTCTAATCTATAGTCTAGTCTACAGTCTAATCTATAGTCTAGTCTATTTTCTAGACTATAGTCGAGTCTATTGTCTAGTTTAGTCTATTGTCTAGTTTTAGTCTAGTCTATTGTCTGGCCTTTAGTTTAGTCTAATCTATATCTATAGTTTAGTCTATAGTCTAGTCAATATTCTAGTCTATATTCTAGTCTATAGTTTAGTCTAGTCTATAGTCTAGTCTATAGTCTAGTCTATAATCTAGTCTATAGTCTAGTCTAGTTTATAGTCTAGTCTAGTTTATAGTCTAGTCTAATCTATAGTCTATGGTCTCGTCTATAGTCTAGTCCATAGTCTTGTTTATTGCCTAGTCTATTGTCTAGTCTATAGTCTAGTCTATTGTCTGGTCTTTAGTCCAGTCTATTGTCTTGTCTATTATCTAGTCTTTAGTCTAGTCTATAGTCTAGTATATAGTCCATATTCTAGTCTATAGCCTAGTCTATAGTCTTGTCTATTTCTGGTCTTCAGTCTAGTCTATAGTCTAATCTATAGTCTAGTCTATAGTCTAGCCTATAGTCTAGTCTATAGTCTAGTCTATAGCCTAGCCTATAGCCTAGTCTATAGTCTAGTCTATAGTCTAGTCTATAGTCTAGTCTATAGCCTAGCCTATAGCCTAGTCTATAGTCTAGTCTAGTCTAGTCTATAGCCTAATCTATAGTCTAGCCTATAGTCTAGTCTATTGTCTAGTCTATAGTCTAGTCTATAGTCTAGTCTATAGTCTATAGTCTTGTCTATTATCTGGTCTTTAGTCTAGTCTATAGTCTAGTCTATAATCTAATCTATAGTGTAGTCTATAGTCAGTCTATATATAGTATAGTCTATGGTATAGTAAAGTCTATAGTATATTCCTAAACCTTGCTGATCTATAGTCTAGTCTATAGTCTAGTCTATTGTCTAGTCTAGTCTATAGTCTAGTCTATAGTCTAGTCTATAGTCTAGTCTATAGTCTAGTCTATAGTCTTGTCTATTATCTGGTCTTTAGTCTAGTCTATAGTCTAGTCTATAATCTAATCTATAGTGTAGTCTATAGTCAGTCTATATATAGTATAGTCTATGGTATAGTAAAGTCTATAGTATATTCCTAAACCTTGCTGATCTATAGTCTAGTCTATAGTCTAGTCTATTGTCTAGTCTAGTCTATAGTCTAGTCTATAGTCTAGTCTATAGTCTAGTCTATAGTCTAGTCTATAGTCTAGTCTATAGTCTTGTCTATTATCTGGTCTTTAGTCTAGTCTATAGTCTAGTCTATAATCTAATCTATAGTGTAGTCTATAGTCAGTCTATATATAGTATAGTCTATGGTATAGTAAAGTCTATAGTATATTCCTAAACCTTGCTGAGATGAGAGTAGGGTATTTTCCTAAACACTGTTCTGCTGACCTTATATTTTACTGTTATTGAATTGTACTCCCTGATAAATTACACAATTTTTTTATATATATAGATATATTTTATTAGAATAATATGCAAAAAATGTTTTTTGTTTTGTTCTTTTTTTTAATTTTTATTTTCTGGTCTCATAAATTGTTACTCTTCCATTCATGGTTTCTTTGTTTTGCTTTGTAGTTTTTTTTTTCTTTTTTTAGTTTCATTTTATTTATAATTAACTCTTAAATTTACTAAATTCAATGAAAAAAATTAATAAATTAAAAAAAATATTTATATATTTATAATAAAAAATCAATCAATCATTTAAATATGGGCAATAGTCAAAAATATCATTAAAATATTAAAAAATAATAAGTTAAAAATATATAACAGCGGAAAGTGGCTAAAAAGGGTAGTAAACTAAAAATTTAAAAGGAATCCAGCACATTTAGAAAAATTATTTGTATTTTATAAGAATTTCAACTATAATTTATTTATAATAATTAGTTTAAACTAAATAATAATTAAAAAAATATATTCATAAAAAAAAGAAAAGCGAAAACATTTTACTAATATTACTGAATACACACTATTTCGTTATTAGCATTTTAAAATTATAAAAAAACAAATATTTAATAATTATAATTATATAAAAAAATTACACCATTTATTTTAAACAAAAGAAAGTTTCTTAGGGGAGGAGAAGGAGCATTATTTATGTAAAATGTTTACAAAATATTTAAAGAAATCATTCTTTCAAAGCATTCTTTAAATATTTGAATTAAAAAATATATATTCTATTATTATTAAAATTTAAAGAAAAAGAGCAGGAAAAAAACAAATGTTTCATAAATAGCAATTGATTTTGTTTTTAATTTTTGTAGTTGTTGTTTTTTCGGTAATAAAATCTTTAAAAATTGTTTAAAAACAGAAAGTTTTAATATGTATAATAATATATATATTTAGATAATAATCATAAAAACTAATATTTAAAGGTTTTTGTTTGTTTATTTACTTAATTATCTTTTTCTTGTTTTTATACTTTACAAAGTGTGTGTGTGTGTGTTTCTTTTGAAATTTGTTTTATCAACTTTTGTGTGGGGTTTAGTTTTTTTTATTACTATTTTTATTTAAATATTTTATTTAGATTTCCTTTTTACAAAAATATACTATTATTTTTAATTTATTTTATTTTCTATTGTTTATTAGAGTAAGTGGTGTTTTTATTTTTGTGGTTGTTGTGTTTTATTAATAATCCTTTCTTTATTTTTTATATTTAAACTAATCGGAATCATCATCGGACGAATTTGATGATAATTGTAAATCATTTTGTAATAAATCATTAGGAAAACCACCATTAGTTGCAAAATTTCCACCACCACCACCTCCTCCTGTATGCTGTAGATTATTATTGAGATGATTATTTTGTTGGTATTGCATCTGTGGTGAAGATGTCGTCATTGGTGCCATACCCAAATTAGGCAGTTGATTCATTTGATTAATTGCAGCTCTTGTCGGTCTATCATCTTCTGTGCTGTCATCGGAATCTGAGCCACTTTCACTACCACTCGATTCGGATTCTGAACTGGAAGTCGATGAACTTAAGTCGGCAGCAATGTTCTGTAAGTAGAGCAAACGTATAAATTAATTAGAATTTTGAAAGTAAAACAAACGATGACCATTTTCTATAGAAAACTGCCTGAAGAAAATATTTTTTTACGAAAAATTTATCGAAGAAAACAATTTTCTATTGAAAACAGTCCAGAGTAGAAAATTTCATATTGAAAGATATAAAATATGTAATCCATTTTAACATTCTATAGTGTAGCCTATAATCTAATCTATGTTATAGTTTGTAGTATTATTGTATTGTTTGTTCTAGTAGTATTGTATTGACTTTAGACTAGACTATAGACTAGCCTAGGTACTAAACTCTAGACTAGACTATAGACTAGACTATAGACTAGCCTACAGATTAGACCATAGACTAGACTATAGACTAGATTATAGACTAGACTAGACTATAGACTAGACTATAGACCAGATTATAGACTAGACTAGACTATAGACTAGACTATAGACTAGACTATAGACTAGACTATAGACTAGACTATAGACTAGACTATAGACTAGACTATAGACTAGACTTTAGACTAGACTATAGACTAGACTATAGACTAGACTATAGACTAGACTATAGACTAGATTATAGACTAGACTATAGACTAGACTATAGACTAGACTATAGACTAGACTATAGACTAGACTATAGACTAGACTATAGACTAGACTATAGACTAGACTATAGACTAGACTATAGACTAGACTATAGACTAGACTATAGACTAGACTATAGACTAGACTATAGACTAGACTATAGACTAGACTATAGACTAGACTATAGACTAGACTATAGACTAGACTATAGACTAGACTATAGACTAGATTATAGACTATAGACTAGACTATAGACTAGACTATAGACTAGACTATAGACTAGACTATAGACTAGACTATAGACTAGACTATAGACTAGACTATAGACTAGACTATAGACTAGACTATAGACTAGACTATAGACTAGACTATAGACTAGACTATAGACTAGACTATAGACTAGACTATAGACTAGACTATAGACTAGACTATAGACTAGACTATAGACTAGACTATAGACTAGACTATAGACTAGACTATAGACTATACTATAGACTAGACTAAGACTAGACTAAAGACCAGACTATAGACTAGACCTTAGACTAGACGATAGACTAGATGATAGACAAGACGATAGACTAGACTATAGACTAGACTATAGACTAGACGTTAGACTAGCCTATAGACAAGACTATAGACTAGACTATAGACTAGACTATTGACTAGACTATTGACTAGACTATCGACTAGACTATAGACTAGAATAGACTAGACTATAGACTAGACTATAGACTAGACTATAGACTAGACTATAGACTAGATTATAGATAGACTATAGACTAGACTATAGACTAGACTAAAGACTAGACTAGACTAAAGACTAGACTAAAGACTAGACTATAGACTAGACGTTAGACTAGACTATAGACTAGACGATAGACTAGATGATAGACTAGACGATAGACTAGACTATAGACTAGACGTTAGACTAGACGTTAGACTAGCCTATAGACAAGACTATAGACTAGACTATAGCCTAGACTAGACTAGACTATAGACTAGACTATAAACTAGACTATAGACTAGACTATAGACTAGACTATAGACTAGACTATAGACTAGACTATAGACTAGACTATAGACTAGACTATAGACTAGACTATAGACTAGACTATAGACTAGACTATAGACTAGACTATAGACTAGACTATAGACTAGACTATAGACTAGACTATAGACTAGACTATAGACTAGACTATAGACTAGACTATAGACTAGACTATAGACTAGACTATAGACTAGACTATAGACTAGACTATAGACTAGACTATAGACTAGACTATAGACTAGACTATAGACTAGACTACAGACTAGACTATAGACTAGACTATAGACTAGACTATAGACTAGACTATAGACTAGACTATAGACTAGACTATAGACTAGACTATAGACTAGACTATAGACTAGACTATAGACTAGACTATAGACTAGACTATAGACTAGACTATAGACTATAGACTAGACTATAGACTAGACTATAGACTAGACTATAGACTAGACTATAGACTAGACTATAGACTAGACTATAGACTAGACTATAGACTAGACGATAGACTAGACGACAGACTAGACGATAGACTAGACGATAGACTAGACGATAGACTAGACGATAGACTAGACTAGACGTTAGACTAGACGATAGACTAGACTATAGAATAGACGACAGACTAGACGATAGACTAGACTATAGACTAGACTATAGACTAGACTTTAGACTAGACTATAGACTAGACTATAGACTAGACGATAGACTAGACGATAGACTTGACTATAGACTAGACTATAGACTAGAGAATAGACTAGACTATAGACTAGACGATAGACTAGACGATAGACTAGACGATAGACTGACTATAGACTAGACTATAGACTAGAGAATAGACTAGACTATAGACTAGACTATAGACTAGACTATAGACTAGACTATAGACTAGACTATAGACTAGACTATAGACTAGACTACTAGGCTAGAATAGACTTGACTATAGACTAGACTATAGACTAGACTATAGACTAGACTATAGACTAGACTATAGACTAGACTATAGACTAGACTATAGACTAGGACGATAGACTAGACATAGACTACTATAGACTAGACTATAGACTAGACTATAGACTATACTATAGACTAGACTATAGACTAGGACTATAGACTATGACTATATGACTAGACTATAGACTAGACTATATACTAGACTATAGACTAGGACTATGACTAGACTATAGACTAGGACTATAGACCTAGACTATACTAGACTATGATAGACTATAGACTAGACTATAGACTAGACTACTATAGACTAGACTATAGACTAGACTATAGACGAGACTATAGACTAGACTATAGACTAGACTATAGACTAGACTATGACAGACCTAGACTATAGACCTAGACTATAGACTAGACTATAGACTAGACTATAGACTAGACTATAGACTAGACTATAGACTAGACTATAGACTAGACTATAGACTAGACTATAGGACTAGACTATAGACTAGACTATAGACTAGACTATAGACTAGACTATAGACTAGACTATAGACTAGACTATAGACTAGACTATAGACTAGACTATAGACTAGACTATAGACTAGACTATAGACTAGACTATAGACTAGACTATAGACTAGACTATAGACTAGACTATAGACTAGACTATAGACTAGACTATAGACTAGACTATAGACTAGACTATAGACTAGACTATAGACTAGACTATAGACTAGACTATAGACTAGACTATAGACTAGACTATAGACTAGACTATAGACTAGACTATAGACTAGACTATAGACTAGACTATAGACTAGACTATAGACTAGACTATAGACTAGACTATAGACTAGACTATAGACTAGACTATAGACTAGACTATAGACTAGACTATAGACTAGACTATAGACTAGACTATAGACTAGACTATAGACTAGACTATAGACTAGACTATAGACTAGACTATAGACTAGACTATAGACTAGACTATAGACTAGACTATAGATTAGACTATAGACTAGACTATAGACTAGACTATAGACTTGACTATAGACTAGACTATAGACTAGACTATAGACTAGACTATAGACTAGACTATAGACTAGACTATAGACTAGACTATAGACTAGACTATAGACTAGACTATAGACTAGACTATAGACTAGACTATAGACTAGACTATAGACTAGACTATAGACTAGACTATAGAATAGAATATAGACTAGACTATAGAATAGACTATAGACTAGACTATAGACTAGACTATAGACTAGACTATAGACTAGACTATAGACTAGACTATAGACTAGACTATAGACTAGACTATAGACTAGACTATAGACTAGACTATAGAATAGACTATAGACTAGACTATAGACTAGACTATAGACTAGACTATAGACTATACTATAGACTAGACTATAGACTAGACTATAGACTAGACTAGACTAGACTAGACTAGACTATAGACTAGACTATAGACTAGACTATAGACTAGACTATAGACTAGACTATAGACTAGACTATAGACTAGACTATAGACTAGACTATAGACTAGACTATAGACTAGACTATAGACTAGACTATAGACTAGACTATAGACTAGACTATAGACTAGACTATAGACTAGACTATAGACTAGACTATAGACTAGACTATAGACTAGACTATAGACTAGACTATAGACTAGACTATAGACTAGACTATAGACTAGACTATAGACTAGACTATAGACTAGACTATAGACTAGACTATAGACTAGACTATAGACTAGACGATAGACTACACTTTAGACTAGACGATAGACCAGACTATAGAATAGACGATAGACTAGACTTTAGACTAGACGATAGACTAGACGATAGACTAGACGATAGACTAGACTTTAGCCTAGTCTATAGTCTATAGTCTAGTCTATAGTCTAGTCTAGTCTATAGTCTAGTCTATAGTCTAGTCTATAGTCTAGTCTATAGTCTAGTCTATAGTCTAGTCTAGTCTATACTATAGACTAGACTATCGACTAGACTATAAACTAGACTATAGACTAGACTATAGACTAGACTATAGACTAGACTATAGACTAGACTTTAGACTAGACGATAGACTAGACTTTAAACTAGACGATAGATTAGACAATAGACTAGACTATAGACTAGACGATAGACTAGACTATAGGCTAGACTATAGACTAGACTATAGACTAGACTATAGACTAGACTATAGACTAGACTATAGACTAGACTATAGACTAGACTATAGACTAGACTATAGACTAGACTATAGACTAGACTATAGACTAGACTATAGACTAGACTATAGACTAGACTTTAGACTAGACGATAGACTAGACTTTAAGCTAGACGATAGATTAGACGATAGACTAGACTATAGACTAGACGAT